AAACTTTCCGTATTCCCCCCCGAGATAACCGGCCATTAAGTGGCTTAAATTCATTAATTAAGTAATCTCCAATAATCATCTCGTAGATAATGCACCTTCCGCGCACAGTTGCCTTATTGAGTAACAGGGAAGCCCGTTCGCTGCTGCTCTCGTGAGAGAAATAAACCCGTTAACGCCTTCAATTTCCCGTTCATCAATTCTAAGAAGGCCAGATACTTTGGTGTGCGCGAGCGGCAGGAAGCACGGCGGTATTTAGATAATGAGCGCTCTCTTATCAGTCGCGAAACCGGGTTAAAAAATGCCACCGCCGTTGCGCCTTCGCCGGAAACGATTCGCTGGTTTATCGTCTCACAGATGCGACTGTATATATGAAAATATATCAATCACCGTCCACTGCGAGCAAAACAAACTCAACGATTCGCGTGCGCGGACGATGCACGGTCTGATAAATTTTGCCTGTGCAGCTAAAAAAATGTCTCGCTGCTACGGTCGATTTTCAACGAGACATTTTCTCCGAGAAACAAGGAGAAATTCGTTGGCCGCTGATCGATAAATGATCTCATTCTTCGTCCGGGACGACATTGCGCTAAATATGGAGATGCGGATGCTTATCTTCGGCTAATATCGCCTCGTCGAGTATTCGAGAAGTAACGATGGCTCGTCGAACGAATCACGAGGCGAAGACCAGCGAGACGGATGCATAATACGAACTCGAGTGCCTCTCTGCCGTTCACGAGGAATATACGCGGTTCTTCGAGAACGCCGAACGGGTCGGCCGGGGTTAATGCCTGGCGTACCCCCTCGCGTGCATCTGCTTTTCTCTTGGTTGTATCTCATTTATAAAGATTCCGGGACAAAGGAGCGGGAACGGTCGACTTTATGGATCTCCGGCGTGGCGTTTGACCCCCCCGACGCCCAAAGGGGCATCGCCGGACGTACGGACAGACAGAAGCGCGAGTCTGTCAAGTACCGCGATTCTAATCTGACAGGGACGTATTGGGCCCCGCTGACCGCTGGCGGGGCCCGACGGGTCGGCCCGATCGGTCGCCGTGTGTATTATTAGTCCCGGCCGACGCGACCGGCATAGATTTCCATACGTTTCGGGGCGCCGAAACGCGGTCGACTTCGGCATTTCGTTATGAGATCCGAACGCCGGAGATAGCTGCTCGAGGAGAATCAGTCGCGACGATACATTCGGCGACGACTGAATTATGCGCGGTCTTTCCCCGACGTTAAGCCTGCGATTCCAGTTTTCCCACTGGATCGCTCGTGCACTGAGAAAAATTGTCGTCAGATAAGCCTATCAGGGTTTCCGATGGTTAATTTTTCCCCATTACGTTTTCCGATTGAATTACGGATACGTCCGACGAAATTGATCCGATGAAATGCAGGGCTGGGAAGTAACTCGTCACTTGTAACGAAGTTACAGTCGCAGTTACTTTTTTTTTTTTGGTAACTCTAACTTAACTTTGTTACTTTCTCTCCGTCCGTAACTGTAACTTAGCTCAGTTACGTTTTTTCGATGACTAGTAACTAATTTGATAGTTAATTTATATATTTTTTAAACCTCCGCAGATCGCATTAGACCTTGCATAAGCGCATAAATGCCTTTATCGACACTTAACAATTTAAATGCAGATTTGATCTTTTTATTTTCATGACAAGAAAGTAACTGCAAAGTAACGATTCGTTACTTTTTGAGTAACTGTAACTAGCTACATTTTTAGCGAAAAAAAACTGTAACTGTGACTGTAACTAGATACTTTTATAAAGTAACTTTCCCAATCCTGATAAAATGCAGTTACCGATAAAATTGGAAAAACCGATCATATTTTTCATCGAATGTACAATTTAATTGGATATATCAGTTTGTATTAATGTAATTTGATTATCCGATTATGTTTAATCGGACACAGAACCAATACACGGAGAGAATTTTCTTCCAAAATTTACCCTGCAAATCATGCAATCGTGGGACGACGTGGCACTTTGATAAATTCCATCGGATAAATTTCGTCGGATGCATCCATAATTTAATCGGAAAGATTAACCATCGGAAATACTATTTAATTGGTTTATCCGACGTAAAGTTTTCTCAGTGTAGGAAAAGTAGTATCGTGCGCCGTTGGCTTTACAGAGCTCTCGAACGAAGGAAGGCTGCTTGTAACGGACAAAGGGAAACCTTGACGCGAAACATTTTTCCTCATTAATGTAACACGGGCGAACGAGAACAAAATTAATGACGCTGCCACATGTATAGTCGAATATGATAAAAAGTATGTACGTTATCGCCTATTTTTTCCAGAAAAGTTATGATTTAGCGATTTCGCACTCGCGCGGCGCCGCGCCAATCCATTAGTCATCTAACTCGCAACTTTGAGCGATCCTGCTTATTTCGGAGTTAATAATGGCCGAGCATTTGTATCCCGCGTCTTGAGGAAACCTTACTGGGTCAAGACGGTATCGTTGCACCTAATCGTCATAGCGTTAAAGAGAGCCATTTCTTCTCGTGGACGAGGGTATAACGGAAGTCTAGTCGAAAGTGACTATCGTCGATTATTCGTCATGTCAGTCCTTCCACTTCGCCGTAGCTTGTACGTTAATGCCACCTATTACTTACCAGGCACCCCTTTTGACAGCAGCGTTCGAGTCCCGATGTTCCCTCGGATATCTTCGGTTTTCGACCTTTGAATTTCGACGACAAAAGACATTTTGCGCCCAATTATGATTCCGCGAGGAGATTTTCAAGCTTTGTCCGAAGTCGTTAATTTATTTCATCCCGTGTAGGATAGTTTGCGTTTCCCCTCGTTTTACCAAATTACAAAAGCGTCTCTCGGAATAACACGCGTATCAAAGAGATTACCACAGATTATTGCTTGACTTTCGTACGCGAAACGTTTATGTGATACATTATAATTAAATACAGTCGTCTACTCGGAGAGAAGTTTTTAAAATTTAGCCTGAGAATCATGTAATCGTGGGACAACATGACATTTCGAAAAATTTTATGAGAGTCTTGTGAAACTGTAGAAAGTATGGTAAAATTTCACAAAACTCTCATAAAGTTCTTGAAGAAGTCATGTTGCCCCACGATTACATGATTTTCAGGGTAAATTTTAAGAGAAACAATTTCCTTCGTGTGGGGGATGAGAAATTATTATTATTGTTCGTGAAAACGCATGTCGTCCCACTCTTACATAAGTTTCAGGATAAATTTTAAAATTCTCTCCGTGTAGGGGATGAGAAATTATTATTATAGTTCTGGAAAACGCATGTTGTCCCGCTCTTACATAATTTTCAGGATAAATTATAAGAGAGAAAATTCTCTCCGTGTGGGAGGGGGGGGGGATGAGAAAAATTATTCGTTTCCAAGCTACGCACTTTGTATTTCTAAAGTCGCCCCGGAAAACACACTTGTTACGTAAAAATTACCCGGTTTTCCGGAAAAAAAACATTCAATGCTCCCCGTAAGCGATGTAATAAAGAGATACGAACGGGAACAGGGGACAGTACGTAGTTTTGCATGGGCAGCGATAGCGGGGTTAAATGAAGTATATGACGTGCGTTAACCGACACCACACTCGCGATCAGCGTAACGCAACGCACGCAACGCATTTACGGTATAACGTAGGCGTGGCTGGCTTGATATCAACGATGGCCACCTTTCGACTGTAAATCAATCGATATCGCGCCTGCAGGAGGGGCTTTTCATGGGGCTTGTGCGATGCCTGAAACGAGCCGGGGGGATGGAAGCATGCGCCAAATGCTGAATGCGAATCGACCCGCCCCGCCACTCTCATCCGTATAGAGATCGTCCCCGGCCGTCGTTCTCGCTTTCCGTTGCAGCGCGCTGAAAATATTGAAAAAGAGTCGCTTGACGCTTTTATTTCATTCCCATCGCTACGAATTACTCACACGACAAGTGGGATGCAATTCATGGAAATTAATAGTTCAACTTTAAACTGTACGCCCGTAACAACTTTTTTTTGCGTTGCTCTAAGATCTAAAAGTCCCAAAGTACATACTTTTGGATTCAGCAAATTGAGTGAGGCTTATTGTCGCCAGTGGTAATTAACGCGGGGAAATTCTATTAAAAATCGACCAAACTGACATAAAAAGTGATATGCATTTGTGTCACAACGTTTCGACCTCTTAATCCTTTTCAAGTACAGTCTAATGTTGACTGAACAAATTAATTTTATGCTGAAGCAGAATGAGTTCGCGGGTCTGTGGCAGCAAATTCATAATGTCATATATGCCTCGGTAGTCAGTTTTTAATGGCGGCGTCGATTTTTAAAATTTTTCGAGCAGCAACCGTACGCTAGTGGATCTCGAATAAAACTTTTGAATTTGGAATCTTAAAGAATTCAAGGAGACACCGATCAAGTGTCGAGTATTATTCAAATGTAACTCGCGCTTGCAGTGAGGCAACGACTTATTTGCCCGTTATAGTCATCGATCGCGATGACGACATGCCTCGCGGATGACACGTCGCCATGTCGCAATTCATTAATCGGGTTTTCAATACCGCGCAGCTGTCGATGCTCATTGCAGATAAACGCTTTACCCCGAGCAAACACTCGCACGGCTGGGAGTGGTAGGTGTAGACAAAATAAATCATGCTCGTTGGCTTGATAATGGGAATATTTAATTCGAATTTAAATAATCTTACAAGTATCAGTTGTCGCGTGATCGTTTCGTATGCGCTCGCTACACTTCATATACCATACGTAAATAAATAGCTAAGTTACATTTTAAACAGTCTATCGGGACAACGCCGTCGCTAAATGGTAAATTATGTACACGTCGCTCCGCAATTACATGTACAACACACCTATACATAGCTCGTCTCTATTTATTTCTCTTTTTATTATGTATAATCTTCTATTGCACGTCGCAATCACTCCAGGTTGTTTTTCCGCGGTATATAATATCTTACATTTTTACAATAAATTAACGAGAAATCTGATTCCCTGCCCCCCCCCCCCCCACACATTCTCACCCGCCCGATCTCGACTCTCCTTCGTTCACCAGACCAGGTCCTGTAAGCTTTCGCGTATCTTGCCGGAAAAATTGCAAAAAATGGCACTTGTTAATCTCCTTCGTAACAAACTAATCGCTGCATGCCATCGCACGACAATCGAATGTATTTCATTCCTTCGACGGACTCGATCGATTTCGCGAGAGAAGATTATTCCACAATACCAGTAACCGCTTCTTGGGAAAACCTCTCTCGATACGAAATGTCATTAGCTATTCCTGGTTTTTTTCTTTCGCACGGTAATACTTTGTACAAAGCATCTCAAGAATTTCGTCGGTTTTTCTAAGGCGCCTTGTATCATTGATTGCCTTCCACCTACAAAATCTCTGTTTCAACTGTACGCGCGCTGCGGTCTAGGAACCTGTGCCGTAGCGTTTGTCATCTCAGAGCGATGGCAAGGGACAGCGATCGTAACTTATTCGCGCAGCCATCTCGGTAAAACTAACTTCCCGCTCACGTTTATTTCGAACAAGGGCAAACGACATTCGCCAAACTGTTGTTCTATCGGAAGCTCTAATTACAAGACAAGAATTCCTCGAGTTTGACTCTGTCTAACGAGTTGTACTAATACGTCTAGTGAAATAAATATTCCAGTCTTTCATTTTAAGGAAGAGAAATGACAGACCGTTGACTCTGGTCCGCTCTACAAGCTTTCTTCATTAGTTTTTTGGCCTGATGATATGACTCTCTTCAAAGTAATATACTATATGTATATTTACCCTTTTTAAAATAATACATGAAAATTTACACCGTGCTTTGGTTGATTTATGATTTGTTTCCAACAACCTGCAAAGTCAGAAAGACAAAACGAAGGTGTCTTGCGATAAGTAATGGCTTTTTGCGGAAGAAAAAGTATTCGTTCCAAAAACTATTTCACGCGATTCTACGATCGAATGTGTCTTCTGGTCGTATTGGGAAAAATTTTCACACTAAGTAATCTGGCACTTCCAGATTTTATTTATACGTGACAATTTTTCTGAGAAACTCTTACACAAAGGACTGAAATCGAATAAAGAATGCGTTGGCTTTCGCTTCTTTGGAGTCGGATACAAAATTCAGGGGTCAAAGTTGCAAGCTAAATCCTGCCGAGCGTCCGTATATTTAAGCTTGCAGTCGTCATTTCGCCTGCAGCTCAGCGGCCTGTTCCTCTTCCTCTTTAGTAAGCGGTACCGTTGAATGATTGTAAAGCCCCTGCGCCATTAGCTGAAGCGCCAGGGGATTTTTCTGACCGCTGGCCTTCTTGATTTTCGCCCGCTTGTTCTGGAACCAGATCTTGATCTGCGCCTCGTTCAGACCTAAATCCCTCGAGAGCTGCTGCCTTCGTCTTTCCGTCAGGTATCGATTCTCCGCGAATTCCCTCTTCAGTCTCGCTAACTGTTCGCCGCTGAACGCGGTCCTGGGACGTTTTTCTTCGGGGGTGCCGCCGCCGCGTCCGTCTGTCCTCTTCACTCTTCTCGTACGTGGACCTGGAACACGGGATGGTTCTAGCGTTAACTCGTATCTGTCAATATGTCCGTCCGAAGGTAATTCTGCAGTACTTGCAAAACTATCGTGTTGAAATAAAATTTAAAAGTTTCTTCACACGTAGAGTCTTATTCATTAAAACCTGGACTTCAAGTTTTACTAGGATTCACATTTTCATAATCTTTATTCCCCATTACACATCGATGAGTTTCAGGCTGTAGTTCACGCAGCTTCTATAGAAGTCTGTTAGTGACTTGTATAGATGAGAAAAATTATGATAAAAATGCAGGTCCAGGCATTAACGAAGAAGGCCGTACTTGTCTACTTTGGAATATGTGAAGAAATCAATATTATTTTCTATTACGCGGGCAAATACAGACAAGTAGCCTTAAATTCTCGTTCAGATTAAATAATGTTTCTTCAAAAGGTATCCCTTCTCTTTGACAAGCTAAGGTTTCGTTTTCTTTAATGGGCGTCTTTCAATTGCCGCGTGAAGAGGTGAAATTTCATAGATGACGATACGCAAGACGTCAGACGTTTTAAACAATGCCGCGCAACGTCGCTCCACGGGCAGACATTGATTCAGCAAGTTTACACGCCGATAAATCAGAGAAATTAACGAACCGCTCGGCAAGTTTTACGGCAACTTTTATTGTCTAGGCCTGTCTTGGGTGTTTTTCTCTCCGGCGCGCCAAGTCCAAGCCCGGTTACGCGCTTGTGTTTTCTATAACGAGCCAGTTGCTTGGGAGGAGTCGCGCGCGAGGTCGGAAAGTTCGTCGACGGAATAAACGTCTGGCTGAAAGGATCGTCCTGCCGGCGAAGTAAATCCTTCCGTCTCGATCCTACCCTGCCTTATCGTGCTTGCGGATGCGTTCGCGCGAAATCGCCGTGACGTCGGACAAACCTGGCAAGCGGCGCGCTTTATCGTAAATCAAACGCATTATTATTGCCGCCACGTTGCGCATCTCGCGCCTCCACGTTGCGTCACCGCGGAGACGCCTGAGATCCGATCGGCTTCGCACGAGATTTCGACAAAGAAGTCTCATGGCGAGTCTTCCCGAGAAGGAGATAATTAACAGGAAGGTGGGATAAGATAAGTTTAATGCGGCAAGTACACCCGGCTCTTCCTGTGCGGGGTATAATTCAACTTTCTCGACGAGAGGAAAAATATTTCGAATTCGATGACGTTTACTTGGAAAACGAAAAGTGAAGTCCTTTATAGAATTGCTGAACTCGAGCTTTACACGCGTCGTCGAGCGTAAAGGCCGAATCAGACTAGCAATTGCTGGATTTGTACCTTGGCAGAAAAGCAGACAGCAGAGAAGCAGAAGCCAATCAGAACTCGCGCCGGTAGTAAACAGCACGCTCTGCTGGCGGAAAGTAGAAACTGTTGACTACCAGCGAGAGTTCTGATAGGTTCTGATTGGACTTCTGCTTTTCTACTTTCCGCCAGCAGAGCGTGCTGTTTACTACCAGCGCGAGTTCTGATTGGCTTCTGCTTTTCTGCTTTCTGCTTTTCTACCAAGGTGTGAATCCAGCCTAAGAGAGATACAAGCGGCGCGTCGCTTCGCCAAATAAGGGCCGCGTTACGCGATCCTAGAAGCGACTCGCTTTTCCCCGCGCGACTACTTCCTCCCTGATTCCCGCATATAATTCCCAGCTAATAATTCAAGGGATAAACACTGTTCGCCCGGCGCGGCACGAACGCACCGCTTTATACGCGCGCACCACCGGCAGCTATAATTGCGTATAAATCAAATCATAACGATCAACACCAGCGCTATCGGTCGGTCCGATCTGTTGAATATTCCGTGGAAATTTCGAGACCGCCTCGCGATAATCGGCTAGCGCCATACACGTGCACCCGGTCGCTCTCGAAGCGAGAAATCATTATACCTACCCGCGTGGAAAAAGCGCGTAGATCGACAGCGAGCCATCGATCATTGAAGATAATAAAACTATTATGTAATAAATATCTCGAAAATATAAAAATAAAAATGTTTTGCACGTGCAGCGGATGAAGATTCTCAAGATAGACTTTTTACGCTACGTTTCTTGACACGCAGACCGGTATTTACAGTCAATTCTTATTTCAAGATCATCTTACGTAATGTCACAAGATATTAATATACGATTCTGTGATTTTAATTTACGGCACATTAAGACTGTACTTAAGATAATTTTAAATATAAGAACGGACTATGAACCGATCGTACGTATATAATGTAGGACGTACTCGATAATCTTACTTGATACTCATTGTTCCGTTTTTCTCGAACGTTTATAGAAGTTTCTTTTCGGAAATTAGCAAAGTATTTCGCATTTTTCGCAATGTATCTTTCAACAGTTCTCGACGTGCCTTATTAGAGATTAGCCTTGGAAGAGGGGAAACATCGTGTTGTTATAGAGTGAAGGCCTGGTGTCCACGATGCTTGGTCCAAGTTCTAGTTTCGAGAAACGTGTACCCAATCAACTTGCAGCTATTCCATAAAAGCTGTAAGTAGATTGGCCATATATTTCTCGGAACTAGAACTTGGACCAGGTTCTAGCATCGTGGACACAGACCTTTACGAATGTCGGAACGGAAAATACTTGATTGCGAACCATGTAACGTTAAACAGTTCTGTGACCGGGCTTTAACGATCATCGTTCAAGAGAAATCGGAAATTACAGGCTTGCGGAATGCAAGACGCAACGCAAATGATAATTATCGAATGTTGCGGGGCGACAGTAAATTGCCGTCGACGACGAGCGCCGTCCGGCGCGTACGGATTTCGCGGTGAAAATCGTTTTACAACGCGTAATCATTCAAAGCCGAAGATCATAGTAAATGTTTTAAGTAATATTATCGGAAAAGCAGTTTGTTCCGCGTGATCAAGCATCGGCGCACGTCGCCGAGACTTAAGTCGTTAGCGTCCCGTCTCGGATTGGCTCCTACGGCCGGGCGACGCGATCGATTTCTACACGTGCGGCCATAAAAGAATCTCTTAAGAAATTCATCTTCGTCGAGCCCGATGGCGCCCGTAAAACGTCTTACAAGGCTGCGACTGCTCGCATGCTGTTTTTGCGCTTCGCCAGACGTGCCAATATTTAGAGAAAGAAATATGTATCAAGATACGTATAACGGTAACACGTGTCGCGCGACGTATTTGTTGAACGTTGTTATTTCCTTCGCGAGTTTACGTAATCAACAAGATTTACAGGAAAGGTTACCCCGAAAATTCCTGATGAATTACTTCTCGATTAAGAGCAAATTCCCGATCTACAGAGAGAGAGAGAGATATAGAGGGTGGGGGGAGACAGGGAGAGACAGAAAAAGACAGGGAGAGACTG